AATGTTAATTCATGAGCTCGGCGGACGGATTGTTTGGCCTACTTACATGGGTGTACTCTTTGTTGCCTCCTGCAAACAAAATAATAGCATGCGTAAAAAAACAGATCACTGATTTTGTAATACATGTTGAGTTAACGGTCCGAGACAAGCTAGACCAGCCATCTCTAACATTGCCTCGATTTTCAGTTTTTGTTTTAATTTTATGCAGACAGATCATAAATATACTATGGTCGTTTTCAACCATAAGAACATGGAACACAAATTTACCTTCATATTACCGGGTACAAATGCTTGTTTTTCTCTGAGAAGTTAGCCTTGTTACTATGGAAACGATTCGCTGACGAGGCCATTACCGCGAGGTCTTAACCATAAAAATGAATCATTTATTACTTCGTAACAATCCTCTGAAATTTCATACCTTGGAAATCGACGTGAGAGTTTTCTAATACTGTCGTTGCCCTTGGATTTGCTCGAGGGGTTGTATAATGTCGGAACAAAATGGGGAAAAAAAGGACGCTAAGGCCAAAACAAATAAGTCTCCGGTTTCTGGTATGGAGCTTGCCCAAAAAGTGGTGCGGCGACGCGGCTTTTTTTGTTTTGCCTCAAATGTCGGCTGATGACTGCAAATGATGCCCGACTAGACCTTAGTGCAAATACATGGGAGTCCAGAGAAGCCACATAAAGCTTATTCTCGATAATAACCCCATCTGAAAACACGTTAAAATTGTGCAGCAGCAGGATTCCAGTCAAACCAGTGAATTTGGCGGTTTTGAGACATCATCTTTCATTGAAAAAAAAACTTTTTCATTTTGCCGACGCGCATGGCTACGGCGACGCGCGCGCATACCAGAAACCGGAGACTTGTTTGTGTTGGCCTAAACCTACACGCTCCTTTGTAAGGCCGTTTTTTTTTAATTACTTGGATTACGGAATTTTTGGGTCCCCATTTCCGGCGGCGAGCGGGAAATGAAAAAAAAAAAAAAAAAAAAAAATGGGGGCGCCCTATCATCCAACATGGCGGCGCCCATAGAGACATGAAGAAACAAAAACGGGCACGAGAATGAACAGTCACTGCATTTTCAAAACCACGGTTTCAAAGAAATAGTGACCATGGAGTGACCAACGGCCCTTTCCTTTCTTTATTTCTTCAAACCTGTGCAATAATTGGTACTGGCGTATATTTTATGAGTTTTGTAATGCTCTGTGTACAAAGAATGGCAGCAACTAAATGAAAAACCGTGGCTCATAACAAACGCGTAGACTGTAGGTTCCGGTGTCGTGCCAAAAACCGTCCGGTGCCAAATAGTGTCCGCTGAGCATGCGCAATAGGCGCCAGACACTATTTGGCATGTAATACATGCCAAATAGTGTCCGGTGCCAAATAGTGTCCGGGCGCGCGCGCCGTCAATCGAGCGAGAACACTTGGGCGCATGCACTTACGTCCTGCCGGACAGTATTAAGCTGGAAAAATCGGACAGTATTTTGCAGGAAAATCGGACAGTATTTTGCAAGGGGGAATCGGACAGTATTTGGCAGGGGAATCGGACACTGTTTAGCAGGAAAAATCGGACAGTATTCTGCTGGAAAAATTGGACAGTATTTGGCAGGGCGGAATCGGACAATATTTGGCAGGAGGAATCGGACAGTTTGGCAGGAAAAATCGGACAATATTTGGCAGGAAAAATCGGACAGTATTAGGTGGGAGAAACCGTAAAATATAACGTTGGTTATAATGCTACATACAGCACAGCACGTACTACTACACACACTTCACACGGCGTTAGGCCTACGTACCGTACTGCATGCCAAACAGGTGAACTGACGCGAAAAAAACACACAAACATTTTGCACAAATATAATATTAGGGAAACTAAGTCAGATAGTTATCACAGATAACAAGGAAAACGTTAAAACAGATTGTAAAAAGCAAATTCAGGTGAAAAGAGATCTTTTCTATACGAGTATTGACAGCTCGACAAGGCACGCAAATAGGATGCACGCTAAGCGCGGACACTATTTGGCAAGCGTCCGTAAACAATGTGACGTCATAGACGCATGACCAATCAGATCGCATTATGCTAATTAGCGGACACTATTTGGCACCGGACGGTTTTTGGCACGACACCGGGTGCTGTGGCATCGTGAACGTACATGACGTGACCCAGTACAGTGCATGCACCATACATGGCTGCGCGCGGCCCGCACGGCACAGTCTGTAGTCGTCGCCAGTCTAAGTCATGTCGTTCGATCAAACCAGTACTAATACTATGGTTTACAGGCCTGGACAGCGCGCAATATAGAGTTTTTTTGTACAATAGGCACATTTTTTTTTTTTTTTTTTTTTTTTTGGGGTAGTCAGAATCGACAATTTCCGGCGGCGATTTTTTAAATTTTTTTCAAAATTCCGATTTTTTCCGGCGGCGATTCCGTAATCCAAGTAATTAAAAAAAAACGGCCTAATTTGTCAAAGATTATAGTAATGAGGGGATTGTTGGTTTCGACAAATCATAATTTGTGGTGAGCTAAGTATCTTGAAATAGAATGAGATGCAAGCCTGAGTATCTTTACATTCCTTTCCACATTATTTAGATTTGTTTGTTTCAAATGACATTTGATATTTTAACTGCATGTTTGCATTTTTGCGGACATTTTCCGCAAGCAGAAGTGTAATGGGTAGGCCATGGACAATGCGAGAGTGCCCATAATCATGCGTCCACGTACATTTTGAAGTGCAGTTTACATCTGCACGTAAAAAAATGGGAATTTGAGAGTTTATTCCCTGTTTAAAAATATATTAAATTATCTTTAGGGTAAATGTGAGTACGTGAAGGTGGGTGAATTCTACTCGCCCTTTTGGTTTCAACAGTTGACTTAGCTAGTATTTTGGTTTAAATGCATGTGATCTATATAGGGTGTAGTTTATAAGGAAAAAAAGCTGGTAGGACTTGAAACGGGCGGTTTGACCGGAAGAGAGCAACGAGCAATCATGCTGAACGCCAGCGGGGCAAGGCGGGCATCCGTCCGCGTAGTGTCTGGGGAGACAACTGGACTAGATTCGGACTGCGGAGAAGATGAGTACAACCTGATCTGAAGGGGGCACTTGGGAGACAGGAGAGAGAGCGAAGATTGCAGGTACTTGTTTGTGGGCAGGAATTACACAGTCTAAGCGCCAGGGGCTGGACGGGACAGTGACTGGCCGGACAAGACTTCCACTCGGGAATACTTAACTGGACCCTGGATCGAGGACAAGCTGTTTACTCGAATGGAAAACAAACTAGTGGAAAAATCACAGGATGGATCCTCGGTGAACTGGCTGCTTTAGGGAGGGATGCACGTGCAGTTGGGGTAATACAGGAGGGTACGGAAACACGCACAAAATGCCATCAGCAAGAAATCGTCTTTCTCAATAATGCATTTTGTCATTTTCCGGGGTTGTTTTCAAGATCGGGGTATGATATATAGTTAAATTGATTGAATGATTGCTGTCTGGCAAAGGCTGTTTCATGGAAAACACTTGTACCACTTTCTGATGAAGATAGTTGAACTTATTATTAAATAAGCACAGTCTCTGTTCAGTTGTCTGATGTTAGCGTGCGACTGATTTACCGTTCCCGGCGAACGCAATTTTGTTGTCGCTAGAGAATAGACGATATAGATGAGTTTGTTGGTTGGTTGGCTTGTTGCCTGCTTTCTTGTTTTGATTATCAATATTCATATTAACCTTGTTCGGATCATCAATATTCATCACATGTATCTATGGATTTGGATATCTTAATATTGACCATTCCTTCCTAGAGTATTGACATACATGCTCAGTAATCTAAACACTTGTGATATGTTCATGTATGACTGAGCAGACACATTTTTGTTTCGTGGGATATGCCTATCTAAACAATTCTTGCAAAAATATCGCTGTATATCCGGTGCATCGTCACCTTTAAGCTGCTTTTAATTACTGTCATCGTTAATGTTTTGCAACAATTGGTTTTCTTTATATCAGTTTACAACTCGGAAAAGTCAAGTTCATTATTCCTTTTTAAATGGTTGGTCCCTGTAATTTCCCAGGGATCATGTTAGAATACCGGGGCTATACAACCAAATGGCAATGTATGGGCATGACCCCAGCATGTGTCAATGTGGAAATCTGCTGTGCTAATAATAAGCTCCGTCATAGGGCACGCGACCCCGTCAGAATGCGGTGTGTGCACGTGTTACACCTCGCTTACGCTACCTTTCCGCCACGCGCTAGTGACGAATCTGACGTCACCAACGCATTCCAAGGCACGCTGTGCCTGTAATAGCACCGAGGTCGTCGGGCAAATAACACCAAATAGAAAAAAAATGTTGATATGTAATTCGCTTAATAGACTCGACAATGTGGGTTTCTTTTTCATTTTTGGTAGGAACTGATGAAGATTTTCGTCGGTCCTTGCCCTTCAAATGTTAAACCTGAAATCGCATGCTCCACTGTTATATCGTGACTTGACAATATTACAGAAACTGTATTTATTACATAACATGATTTTCAAATATTTATAAAGAATACTAAGTATTGTTCAACCATCACCCCTCTTTTCCTCTGTCGTGTTTTCATTCGTGTAGGGAACGGAACTCAAAGAATAGAAAATTTTTAAAAAAAATGATGCAAGTATATTTGGTTATTGGTTAATGATTAGTTCATTTGTAAATGCACGTAATTCATTTTGACATTTTGTCATGGAATGATGGATGAAGAAACACGTCTGCAATTTGAGGCAGGATTGATGAATGAACACCGAGAAACAAGACTTTGGACTAAGCAGGCGTCATAGACGGTCGTACCCGCATGCCGTATACACGACTGCACGCAGCCTCCGTGCTGCTGACGAGATTTCACACAAACTCTCGTCAACGCGCGATTGTCACCGCGTGGCATGCTTGACCAGTGAACGTACGTGTACATGCGCGCCACTCGCACTCCAAGTCCGTAGATCACGGCCCGCATCGTATTGGGAGTTCGCTAGGCATCAATATGCGATGTGATCACCGACATGTTACACACGCCGCATTCCAAACGAAAGTCCTCCGTACACCTTAGATGTGCGTACGTGTCGTTGGGCTCTCTCCCCACGTCTACTACCCGTCACTATCTAGTCACACGTCCACTGGAATATAATAATCCGCTGTCATCTCTCTTCGTGTGCCTGTCACCGACTCTGCTGCATGTCACTGACAGATAAGGTTATATCACCAACCTATCCGCACTCTCTGGAATCATTAACTTGGAAATATATTACACACACGTACAGATATTGGTGAGGCTGGCGTTTCCAGCCGCACTGAGAGAGAACGGAGGTTTTGAAGGTAAGTGTAGCGCAGCACCTCTCCGCATCTGTCCATGAGGTAACTCTCTTAACTTTTCGTATATATACAAACGTCACTCCCAGTAACATGTATTCAGTCCAGGTGAAGCTCTACAGCTGTTTCTGTTGTTTTGAATAATTCACGCGCTTTCTCGGGAATGTGTGAATCGCGAAGCACGCTTGCCGTCTCGCGTGTTGGGATTCTCAATGCCATTTTTTTCCTCAATGAAATTCAAACAAGATGCAATCGAAACGCATTTGTACGGTGTAGTTTTGGAGACGTTCGTGCTTTCGATATGTACATTTTTCTTTTCGAAGATTAACAGTATACAGGGTGGTCCCCAAAACAGTTGACACTTTTTCAGAGGCAGATTTCTCACAATTTATTGAAGAGACATGTTGAAATTGTTGTCAGATATTCCTAAACTACAAGATGTTGGTCGTTTATGTTGGAAACGGCGTTGAAAATAAAGCTCAAAGTGAGAAATAGCGGCCATTTACAGCAAAATGGTCAAAAAGTTAGAACTAGTTTGTCCACATCTATGGCAGTCATGTATACCTATACCATTATGGCAGTTTTTTGTGCGTGCAGTGCTATTTTGTTGGCCATTATCTCCCAGTGCATGGACAAACTGGTTTTTGACCATTTTCTTTAAACCAATCGCCGTTTAATTTTGGCATTATTTTCAGCGCCGTTTTTACCATATACCACGAAGATGCCGTAGTTTAGGAATATCTTGAAACAATGTTAGCATGTCTCCCCAATTCCAAAAAAATCTGCGTCTTACACTTTTTTTTTTTTTTTTAACAAACCTGCAGAATATTGTTGTTAACAGGCAGTTAAAAAGCATGGGGCAAAAATCAATGTTCAAGAGCCTCAAAAACCAATTTTGTCTGGGGATCGTGTTTTAATTTAATGCTATAACTTTACTGATTCAGTAGTTTCAGTTCGGCCTATACACAAAAAGAGGTACAAAGATCAAGTCGAACGATTGGACAACACCAGAAAAAAAAGTCAGTTGTCACAAAGTAGGCCTAGCCTATATATTTGTAAGTCTAAATTCTCAAATAGTAATTTATTTTAATAAGAGTGCAGCAGTAAAACTACAGAGCTTCCAAGTTGCACGTGAGCTGTTTTGCGTTAAAAAAAAATTGTTGATTTTATTAAAATCGTTTTATTTCATACCTTTCACTAAACAGTCCTATTTGATGCCTCATTCTTAGGCCTGCTAGATTGCATGCATCCCTGTTGAAAACATTCTTGCTCAATTCCTTTTACGTCCAATTTGAAATCGGATCTTTTGATGAAAGCCAAAATGATCTTAAAAAAACCCACTTTTGTCCGAAGATCTTGAGTATTTAGTGTTTTAAATTGTTTACTAGCCATCACAGGGTCACAGGAAATCTACTTATCATGTTTTTCATTTTTGAAGATGTCGAATTTTTGTTATTATTTTTTGTTTTACATCTGACGCGACAGCTAATTGTTGCCATGCCTGTACGTAGTTCAAGCAGTGAATAAAGCCATCAAATAATAAGCCAAATGAGCTGTCAACATCAGACTGGCACCGTGTACAATGCATACTGAGTTAGCATTATATTCTCTGTGTGAAGTCAGGTCCCATACCAATGAGAGCACAAGTTTTGAAGCAATTTTTTCGAAAAGAAACATTCGTGACTGAAATCAAGACCAGCACCCGACGGCTCGATTTATTAGGACCAAAGTTGTATAGGCCTGCTCGAATTCACTTCACGCGATAATTACACGAAAATAACAAAGTTTCAAAGTATCGTTTTGTGCACTTATTGTTCAACTTTGAACGATCGTTCCAAGAAGTTACTAGACGCGTTTTAGAGCCAAAACGAAGCAGTCCAGATGTTCAACCTACGGAAAGTGTCAGCCCACTAAAAAGGTTAGCGCTTGCAAATAATTAGAATGTATGGGCTATTTGGAATGAAGTTGAAGTTAACATATTTTAGCCGCCAGCAATGACAACTAACACGAATGTCCTTCTTATTTTTGGCTAGTAAGTGTGCATACTCAGTATTCTACGCCAATGATTAATCAGAATATGAACATGATGGAATTATGCACCACTATTTGGACATCCTACATTTTCAGTTAATACTTTAATGATAAATGTATCGTCTGTTATCTAACATGATATTTGAACTCATAGCAACCTCGTGCTTTTGAAATGTAACAAAAAAGGTAAAGTTTTTCCCTGGAAACGGATTGTCTCAATGTCAGCGATAAGCCAAGCACTAATGTCCACACTCTATCAAGTTTTTCACGCTGTTCAAGACGTCAAACCAGCGCCGTCAAATTCGTTTGAAGTCGACACATCTTCCAAGTCCTAATGGTTCCTCTAAAAGCCATGTCTGTGATCATGACGTACAATTAATAACAGTAGAGTGCGCTGTACGTGCTTCCTATAAACGTGGGTTTGTAAAAGGTCCTTACAATCAGACATTCTGTTGGGAGACAAGGAGAAAGCTCTCATGTCTTATTTGTGAGAAACGTTAATGGACACTTTTCTATTAGTTTGAAATGTCTGGGCTCGAGCAGCGAATATCAAATAGTTTAACCTTTAACAAACCCGCAATATTTTTTTTATCTTGCTGATTACTCTGTTGTTATAAATTGTCATCCATTTAGTCACAGATCAAGCACCATCAGACTCTTTCGCTGATCAATAACCTGTGAACGACAAACAAGATAAATTCAACGCGGAAAGATTTTTATTTATTTCAGTTTCCAACACCGCAAGGCAATGAACACAATTGTTACTTAAATAATATATTCTATATTAAAGGAACCTACACAATTTTGAAGGAACCACAAATCCTCCTCATATTAAATGGAAATATTCTGAACGATATTGTTCTGGTAGGTTTTTGTTAGTGCGCATTGTAACGAATTTCATTTGTAGAATGAAGCGTCGATTTGTCCCGCAGCTGTGTGTGCTTCCATCTCTATTTTCTTTTTTTATTTAAAGGGACATTAGGTCCTGGAACAGCCCAATTGGGCTACAAAACGCGTTTCTAAAGAACGAGATGATGTTAATCGGAAATAACATTTAAAAGTAGGATATAAACGTCCACACAACTATCCTTTCAAAACTGGGCGTTTTTGTGTTATTCCTGTATTATGCGTGCGAGAACGAATTTCGGGGTCCCCTTTTGCGGCCCCATAAATTCGAGCTGTTTGGATGCTAGTTGTGATTTCATTCGTAAAGTCTTCGCCTTTTGTGGACGTTAAAGAAACCATTTTTTGCATTGGTGATTGGTCACCGCTGTTCCCGAGACACACAACGTGTATATCGTATACACTAAGAACGACACGAAAAACGTATTCGTACTCCGTCATGTCCGCTGTAAACAAGCGGGGTTTTTTTTCGTCTTTTCTCGGGAACGGTAAGACATTAGGTTGGTTTCCTTTCAACCAGGTGTTTGAAATAGGCTAAGTAAACAATCCAAAACATAAAATTCTCAGGGATTTCAGGACTTAGTGCCCCTTTAACCCTAAAGGGGCCGGGTTATTTTGACCATCTCTCAGCCGGGGGGGGGGGCCCCCAAGATCTCGGCCATCAAGTGACGAAAAATTTTGAAACTCGGCACATGCATAGAGCAACTCTTCCTAAACACACACAAGAAATGTCATGACTATAGGTCAAAGGATTTTGGAATTATGGCTAATTAATTATTCATATGTACGAATGGCAATTCTGCTCTGTGTACACGACGTATATGCGAAAATTCAGTTTTCACGGCGCGTAGCGCCGGAAAATTTTTCGCTACGCGGCAACCCGTGGTCCGATTTTTATGTTTTTGGTATCAAAAGATGCGCAAAGCTCGAGGCTAAAAAGTCATAACAGCTCGGGTTGCGAAAAAAAATTTTTTAGAGGCTATCACGGAAGATGTTGAGGGGGGGGGCGGATTCCCCCCCCCCCGGCCCCTTTAGGGTTAAATGCGTTTTTGGTTTATGATGTTTACTTGTACAGGGTGGTGCAAAAAGAAGGAAACCCACTTTTGATAGGTATTTTAACCTACTTACTTAACCTATTTGAACTTTTTTTTAATAACGTAGTGAAGTATAGCTCTTCAACAATACGTGGTGAAAAAAATCCGTAAACTAAACGCAAGAATAGTGTTATTATGCTAATAATACAAGTCACCAAAATCACTGTTGTCCACGTGCAAGTCTTGTGTAGTTTTTTTTTCTCTTCAAATCAAGCTCCGGAGCTCAGTCAAGCGGATGGAATAAAGCCGTCCGTGGACAAACAGGTTTGGCACATGACATTTTTAAACTACCGTGGGCCTTATTCACGAGTTGGCCATTTTTGTCGAGTTCCCTGAATGTATTTCATTAATTGGTAACTGTTGAATGGGATGGCGCCAAACTATTTATGCAGGCACAATGCAGCCTTATTTTATTGTCATTTATTTTTTTTCAAATATGGCTTCAAACATTAGGGAATATTTAATTACAAATTTTAAATCATGCATTGAAGCAGACTGGAATTTATTATAAATTTAGTTGCTTTCATTTCTCCTCGCAAGCTAAAAAAATACGATTTTACCTAACTTTCAATTCAATTTGGCCGACTCGTGAATAAGGCCCATATCTCAGAGACAAAATATGCATTTTCAATAATTTTTTTGTCACTTATATTTAAAAATCAATATTTTAATACCATTAAATTGAATTTTTGAACAAGTAGGTGAAAATTGCCGTCAAAAGTGGTCCCTTCTATTCGATTGTCGAGCTATTTTCTAAGACAACCTTTGGGATTGCTTTCGCTTCCAATTTGGAAAACTATCAACTAAATACTGTTTGCCTTTCATATTTTATATCTGAGCTTGAATAACACGATTAAAAAACTAAGCGGCGAGAAATCTATGAGAATTGACATCATTAGAGGGTCTGAGTTCGCTTGACCTATAGACGTTATTTTTCCGGCCTTGAAAGCAGTAATGGGAGTACGTAGAGAGATGATG